TTATTTTAGTTGTTTTTTTAAAGAACAAATTTCCGTGGATTCTATGAACTCGTCTTCGTAGAATTTTTTCACCTATTTTAATTACTTATTCATTTTACTTAAATTGAATTGTCAGACTTTGGTTCGTCTGCTTATTTGAAACATCGAGGATTTTTTATGTTGTCAGCAATTTTCATTGTAGCTGCAAGTGATTTTGTTTTGTTCCTGTAATTTGAAAAATTAATAGCCCTGACGTTGTATATTTTCTTTGATTTTTCATCTTGTTTTTTTTTTCAACTTGAACTTTTACTTGGCTTTATTGGTTTCGGCTTAGTTACCTAATTTGTGTGGCTTCAAAGGCAAAAAAATCTGTTTTTTTAAACTCAAGTAGTTTGTCTTGCATGGTTTCAAAATTTTAAAAATTATTAGCTGAAGCTCAAAATTTTGTTATGGCACTAACTTATTATGGTATTTTTTGTTTTCGACTCAAATGGCGTCTACCCATTTGTTGTCGGATTTTTAATTGCTCGGTAAAACCTAAAAGCTTATTTAATACTGGTGAGTTTTTGACTAATTTTCTGAAATTATTTTCCTTTTTTCGCTTTTTTTGTTGATTTTGTGATTTCAGTCTCAGTTTCTATTCGCTTGCTTGCAATGCTGCGCTTGCATTGTATCGCGAGTGATGCGAAGCCCCGTTTTGCATCTGAGTGAAAATTGCTCTACTATTTGAAAGTGGAAGCGGCGGTGTTTGCCCTTCAGTTTCAAAAAAGTATTTTATTTTAAGAGTCGATGAAAGTAGTTCAGACTCTTTTATAGGTCATGGTGTTATTTTAAATTTTTTTGGGAAAATCTTAAAATTTGTTCTCGCTCAAAATTGATTTTTTTTGCAGGTTGACTTTTGATTTTTTTTCAGCTGCTAAAGGAAGGCAAACCCCACTATCGAACGGCAAAAAAAGTGAAAGCCACGAGAAACGTGATCAACTTTTATCTTCGAAAAAGAAATTTTTATTAGAACTTTCTGAGAAACTTTCCATTGATCCAGATTTCTCAAATTGGGTTCATTTTATCAAACAATTGTCAATCATAAATAAGTCAGTTTCTTTTCTGTTACCTTGGGTTCATTGACTCTTTCCCAACTCTGTTGGCTGTTTTTGATTTCCCAGCAAATTAAAAAATTTACTTTCTCACCAAACAAGTGTGAATTATCAAAGTTTTTTTTGAAATTGTAACTTGGTTTACTTATTTTGAATTAAATGAAAATTGAGTAGTTTTTTCTTCAGTTTCATTGAGCTCATTTTTTCAAACTGTATGTCGGCTATTTTTCGATCAATGAATAGATTTTGGCAGTTATTTATTGATTAGTTACCAGAAAAGATTTTCACTGGATGAAAGCCGCCGAAATAATGTCTAACTCCATTGTCTTACTTCTTTGCCTCTGTCCCGACATAAAACTACCATTTGTGAACGGTGATTGGTTTAGATTGGAGCCAATCACAGATCGGTCTGAGGCGTCGAGTAGTGTGTGGAGTCTGGACATACAGACCCCCAAAGCCAGTCCAGGCAAATCGACCAGCTCAAAGTTGGCACTAGGTAACATTAGTTTAATCTTTTTAATTTGACGCATGATTTTTGGGGTTTTTCGACTTTTGCCCTTAATTGCAAGTTTTCACTTCATTCAACTTATGCATACTATAATAGCTAAATGTGTGATTTTCGTAAAGCGTGAAAAGCAAGTTTTTTCAGGATGATTGATATGTTCACAATGTACAAAATTTGGGCCAAGTTAACATCCTCTTTTTAAGTTGATTCAGGGGAGGATGTTAACTTGGCTCTACGCTGGATTTTTCAGTTAATCATAATCGATCACCTTGCGTGCAGCGCTAAAGCAACTTAAATCCAAATTAAATTAAATGATAATGGACTGGAAGATCTTAGCTTGGTTTATTGAGGGGGGACTTGATTGCTAACTTGATCCCAAAATTTCATTGCATTATGATAACGTTAACAATTTTCAAAATTGAAGTTCAATTTTGGGGTGGAAAAAAGGATTTCTTTGACAAGGCGCGAAGGTGGGCTGGAAAAAAAACTGAAAATTCTTGTTTTTTCTTCGTTATTACTGAATCGTCATCAAAGTCCAAAAAAAACTCGAACTTATGACTAATGATAAATATCGAATTTCCTATGATTAATTTGTATACTTTCTATTCAAAGTCTAGGCTTTATTTTTTAAAACATTGTTTTATATCCAGATTCGCCGGTGACTTCCCCGAAAGCACGGCTGAGAACTAAGACACAGAAAGAGCCGAGCTCCGAAAGCGAATTAAACAAAAGCGACGACAAAACCGAAGCAACCGAGGACCCCTCAGAGAGTGATTTGAGCGTTCCGAGGGCTGCGGCGAGGCGGCGACGACCCGGCGAAGATGACGAAGACGTATTCGGGTTTTGATAGCCAGATTAAAAAGTCTATTGAATTTAGACTGTTATAATTTCAAGGCTTCTCGCATGATTGAAAAGGTAAAATCGCACTTAAATAAACGTCTGCAAGTAACAGACTATCACTTGTTTCATAATCAGTGCGGACGCAGAAATTTCGAATTGTTTGTCGTTTTTTTGGCTCAAACATAAGTTATCCGCCTGCATTCAAAACACTTAAAAGACCCTATTATTGAAAAGAATTCTATTGCCTGGGATTTTTCTGAATGGTTTGCTGAAATTGTTTTGGAAACTATTCAAGATCTGTTCACCTAGGAACTGTAATTTACATTTTTTTCTATTTGCAGATATTACTGAAAATCATTCGAGAAGCTTTAAGTTCCATCAAGCCAAAGATAGTAGAAACAGGCGCTCAAGGAAAAGAAACAAAATAGTTTCATATGTTTTCTTGTAAATTTTAATAATTGTGTATAGTTGTATATGTAAATCGCGCTGCATCGTTTGTTGTGTAAAAAGATCAAATGCACTAAAAATAGTAATTTAATTGAATTTTTTTGAGCATGCTGATTTTATCTTCTACTTTAGTCTTGTACCTACACGGACGCGTAGCGATTAGCATGTCTGCCGATTGGTGTGCACAATTGAAATACTAGAGGCCCAGCTAAAGCTGGAGGTACCTGTTTGATAATTTTGAGTGTGTTGTTCTAATGCGGGATGAAAAAGGTTATTTCGAAAATTTAAAAATTGGGCTTCATGCAAAACCTAGTTATTGCTCTATTAAAATATGAGTGAAAGTTTTGGGATGATGGAAAATTCCCAGAGACAAAATTTTTTGAACAAACTTTTTTGAACAAAATTTAGGGCGTAGCATTCTATGCACGGAGGCTTCCCACAACCTGTTGCCTTGATTGAACCCTTGATATCAGATTGAGTTGTTTTCGAGAAGACTCAAAAAGTTTCAGTAACGGACGAGAAATCAAAATATTAACTTTTCTAAAGGCCATAACTTTTTTGATAGAAAAATTAGGACTTTCGCTCACACCTTCTTTTGATTGAACCTAAAAGCTTAGATTTGGGCTGGTAGTTTTCGAGACAAGTAAAAAAAAATTAAAAAACGGTCAAAAAATCTCATAACTTGATTTCTTTAGGTTAAAAGTTTGTGCAAAGCCGCTCACGCAGAGGAACTTCCCACAGACCGTTCTGTCAATGGAACTCAAAATCTCAAAAAATTGAAATTGAAAAGTTAATATTTTTGTGTGAAAAATTTTGGGCGTGACTGCTGCAGCAAGGGAGCTTTTGACAACCCGTGCTTTGGCTGGAATCAAAAAGCAGATTTGGGAGGTACTTTTTGAGAAAAGTCAGAATCTTTCAAAAAGAGAAAAGAGGTCAAAAATCGAAAACGTGACTTTTTCGAGGGTCATAACTTCTCGTGTAAAAAAATTAGACCAAAAATGCTTATGCAGGGCAATTCTCCAAATTTCGTTTTACCCACTGAACTCAAAGTTTCTCCAAAAAAATTGAAAATTTGTTTTTTTTTCCGAGAGTCCTAACTGTCGACGTGAAAAAATATGGACGTAACCGTTTATGCAGGGTAGCAACCCGTTCTGCCCACTGAAACTAAAATCTCAAATTCGGGAGGGTATTTTTCGAGAAAATTCAAAAAAATTAGAAAAAACTATCAAAAAATTGAAGTTTTGACTTTTCTGAGCGCCATAATTTTTTGTGTAAAAAATTTTTGTGCGTAGCCGCTTATCCAGGGTATGGTCTTACAACTTGTTCATTACCTTAAACCCAAAATATCAGATTTGAAGGAATAGTTTTTCAGAAAACCCAAAAGTTTCAAAAACCTGTCAAAAAATCAAAATTTTGTATTTTCCGAGGATAGCTTCCTACAACCCGGTGTACCCATTTATCCCGAAATCTCAAATTTGGGAAGGTAGTTTCCGAGAAAAAAAAACAAAAAAAATTTTAAAAATACATTCAAAAATCAAAAATTTGAATTTTCTGAGCGCCATAATTTTTTGTGTATAATTTTTTTGTGCGTAGCTGTTTATCTAGGGGATCGTCTTAAAATCTGTTGCATCCGTCAAATCTAAAATCTCATATTTGAATAGGTAGTTTTTGAGAAAAATCTGGAAGTTTCAAAAAATGGTCGAAACATCGAATTTTTGACTTTTCCGATGGGATAGCTTCCCACTACCCCGTCTACACATTGAACCAAAATCTCAGATTTAGAGGATTAGTTTTTGAGAAAAGTCAAAAAAGTTCTAAAAAACGGTCAAAAAAATCGAAAAGTTGACTTTTCCGAGGGTCATAACTTTTTGTGTAAAACAATTATAGCGTGCCGCTTATGCAAGGGATCTTTGCACAACCCGGTCTTCTCCTTGGATGCAAAATCTCAGATTCAGGAGGGTAGTTTTTGAGAAGCCGTTCATCCAGGGGTTGGTCTCACAACCTGTTCTATCCATTTAATCCAAGATCTCATAATTGAAATGGTGTTTTTTGAAAAAAGTCCAAATTTGCAAAAAAAGGTTTTAAAATCGACTTTTCCGAGGGGAGCTTACCACTATACCATCTACGCATTCAACCGAAATCTCAGATTTAGGTTAGTTTTTGAGAATTTTCAAAAAGATTCAAAAGAGTTCAAAAAATCTAAATTTTGAATTTTGGTAGGGTTATAGTTTTCTGTTAAAAAATATGGGCGTAACCGCTGATACAGTAGAACTTCTCACAACCTGTTCTACCCCTTGAATCCAAAATTTCAGATTCGGAAGGTCAATTTTTCGAGACAAAAACAAAATGTTTAAAAACATGGTCAAAAAATCAAAAAGTTCGACTTTTCTGAGTGCCATAACTTTTTGTGTAAAACATTTTTGTGCGTAACCACTCATGCAGGGCTATTCTACACAACTCGTGATTCCCACTTAAACCAAAACGTCAGGTTTGGGACATTGTTTTAAAGAGTAGTTAAGTTTTTTCCAAAAAATAGTTAAAAAATGAAAATTTGAATTTTCCGAGGGCCATAATTTTTGACGTAAAAAATTTTGGCGTAACCGTTTGCCCATTGACCCAAAATCTCAGACTCACGAGAAAGCCAGATAGATTCACGAGAAAAGCCAGATAGATCAGAAACGGTCAAAAAGTCACAAATACAACTTTTCCCAGGGTCATATTTTCTCTCGATATAAAATTTCGGCTTACTCTTTTAAACAGAAGAGCTTCTCACAATCCGTACTTTTGATACAATTTAAAACCTCCAATTTGAGAAGGTAGTTTTTGAGAAAAGTCAAAAAATTTTAAAAATGTGTTTAAAAAAATCAAATGTTTGACTTTTCCGAGGGTCACAAACTCATGTGTAAAAAAAGTTGGTACAACTTTGTATTTAGGGGAGTTTCTTACCACCCTGTCTACCCATTGAACACGAAATCTTAAATTTCATCTTTACGAGGGTCACAAACTCTTGAGTTAAAAAAAAGTTCAAAAAAATGGGCGCAGTTTTCTATTTAAGGATTTTTCCCACAACCTGTTCTATTCATTGAATACAAGTTTCCCTATTTGGGAGGGCAGTTTCTGAGAACAGTCAAAAGTCCAAAAATATAGATCAAATTCTCCCAGAAGTTCTGTTTCGAAGATGCAGAAAGTGGGTTAAGGTAAGAGCCTAGGGAGCTACGCAGGCACACATGATAGTGTGCGGACTTCCTATTGGCATCACATGTTTTAAGATCGATAAAGAAGTTTTTTGTAAGAAAGTGAAAAAGTTTTACAAAGCGTCTCAAAAAATAAAAACCCGAATCTATTCATTTTTGTAATAACTGTTGTTATCAAACAGGAATTTGCAAATTGAGCTCTTGTAAGATAACCATAGCCAATTAACGTTAAATAATTAATCTTCGGGTTAGGCCTCTCGCTGGTTAATAAAAAAAAAATTATTTTATGTTTTTATTTTAAACACGGCAATGGGAACTAGTAAACACTTGTTTTTTTTTACTAGCATATTCTAATACAATTCACTCAGTTATTGCACACAGTAAAAATAGAAGGCGCATGCAAATTTATCTTTGATAAAAACAAGTAATACGAAAATTTATGTTTTTTTTGTAAATTCGGGTGCTTTAGCTTTTTTTTAATGCACAAAAATTAAATACCACAAATAACCATCGGAATAGGTTGAGTGATATATCATAAGATACTTTTTAGTTGTAATTCAAACTAAATTAGAAATTTTTCAAACTTTGTCACGGTGTCGAGAAAAGTTGGTTTGATTGGCTACTGACAAGTAAAATTTGTTTTTATTCGTTGTGACCGTTCTTAGATTTTAAAAAAACTTTTATGAAAAACAAAACTACCAAACATGAGGTTAAGGATTCAGTCGAAGCAGCAAATTGCTAGCAGATTGCGGCTAGCTGAAATTTGTTACAAAACTTTCTATGTCCTTGCAAAAAGTCCATTTTCTGAAATTTTCTGCAGCCAATTCGGAGTTTAATGGCTCGATTGAAATTTCATGGTGCAATGATCTTCCTCGCAATGTTGGTTAAACACTATTTCGTTTAGAACAGCCTGCATGGCCTTAGGAAATGCCACAGTTTCTGATGTTTTTTTTTAAAAAACGTTCCAATTTTTCTTGAAAATTTTCGAGCAAAGTTTGATACCACTTTCAATCAAAAGAACGGATAAAAAGAAGCTCCTGAACGGAACGGTGGTTGTTTGTTTATGTTAGTAGAAAAATCAGTAAGTTTTTGGGTATGGCCCAGCTACGAAATTTTGAAGATTATGCATTTCATCAGGGATCAGTACAACAAAGTCGGAACAAAAAATCAAACATGTATATCCAGTGTTAGCTGGCCTCTAATAAGTCGGTCCCTGCCGTTCACAAATACAGATATATAATTTTTTCGAGTTACAAACTTAGGTCTAACTTTATCAAACTTATACTGTAAACTTATGCTTCGAAAATCAGATTTCAAAAACTGCCTTAAGTGGCCCTTTACTAGTAAGGATCATTTACAGTATGTTGTTCGTCAAAGGCATTGACGAACAACATACTGTCATTCAGAAAGGCATTGACGACAAAACGTTTCGCGGCTCAGCTACTAAAGTTACCGTTTCTAAAGAAGCGTGACTAATAATTTCAACCCATAAAAAATGCGAACATTTTCTTTATACTTTTGACATATTCCTTGGAAAAATTTAAGACCATTCGGAATAAAAAATTTGACGTATTGCTGGTTTAGCTGTTTGGAAGTATAATATCAAATCAAAAATAGAAGATTATAAGTCGCTATTAAATTGCCTGAGTAGTCAAGTGGCCGAAGTTTTTCTTTAGTTGTCGCAGGTTGTGGGTTTGTTGTCCCAAGCTCTTTTAAAGGTTAAATTTATAAAGCTTCAATTCATCTTGTTCATTTTCAAGTGTTGTTATTGTTCCAACCATTGAAAATGGGAAGAAACTTTGTATTCGGGTATGCTTTAGTTTTTTTTTTCTTTTTGTTTTCCACTCAAAATCAGCAACCACAAACAATCATTGGACTGGGTTGAGTGATAAATCATTCTAAAACCCTTTTGCTCATGAT